AAGTATTAAAAAAAATTTCAAAAAAATAACATTAAAAATGAAGTTTGAGCTAAGGTTCGCAGTTAGACCCACTTTTGTAGGTCTTTTTAATTTTTCTATATAGGCATACACACATAACTGTTTGTTAGAAAAAATATAATCGTGAGAAAACATATACAAATACAAACATGTAGATCAAGCTAATAAATACAGTATATCTTACATTATGTATGTTATTACAAGTAAAGTTTTTAAGAAATAAGAATGTTCCTTCAATTCCTATTAATATTCTTACATACAAACATACATATATAAATACAGTAAACACAATTATACTAAATACCTACCAGTAATATTTCGATAATAAAATGTTGAGAAAAGAAATGAAATTATAGTGCATATATTCGTACATAGTTACATATATATACACAACATACAACTGAAATAAAAGTGCTTAATAAAATACACAAAAACCTGGTTTTATTTTTGTAAACAAAAGTGCAATTCTTAAGTGCTAAATATGTCTACTATATATACATACGTACATATAAATACATATACATACATATATTAGACTGGAAACGACATTTACATTTCTGCTGAGAAATCAGATGTGAGCAAATATAAATAGTTGTTTAACTGTTTGCAGTTTGTTAATCTTTACCGACTCCTTCAGCTTAGCGTTGCTGATAAGTAAAGTTCGCCGACGCTGAAAGTCACTTACATATGTTCGTTTAACGGCTTCTGTTTCTATTCTAAACTTTGTGCCAAAATGTAGCAACGCATCCTTAATTTTTCCCCAATATATTCCAAAATTTGCATTTCGTGTCCACAATTTAAAAAAACAGCAGCTATTTTTGTACATTTCTATATTTTATTTACAATTACATAATATATTTCATGCTAATTGTATGATAAATTTATATCGAAAAATTATAAATAATCGATGGAATAACTGCATAATGTGCAGTAAAAAAATTATAAAAAGAAAAATAAAAATAAACAAAACAAAAATGAACCTAACAAATGAACTGCAATGACAATGACTTTTTCCTTTGACTAAAACAGAATTTCCTTGCAGTTATTTGTCAAGCGGCTATAAATTACAATACAAAAGATTTTTTAATTTAAATACATAATAAATTACTTAGTGTCGTTGCAACAAACGTATTTGTTGCTCATTACAATTTATCGATGTTATATTTAACTTTTTTTTTAACTATTTGCTAAGGGAAAAAGTCTTGATGCCTGCTCAGTGGTGTGGAAGAAGAGAGGTAATATATATATATATGTGTATGTGTTATGTGTTTAGTAGAAACGTTTTCTTGAATTTTTCTCTTTGAAATAGGAGATTGCAAAAATGGCACCGGCGATCGTAATCAACATACCGAATAAGAGTATGAAGAAAATCTTTGCATTCGACATACCCGGTTTGGGATCGTCCTTGTGTTCCCGTGGCGGTTCATATGTTTTCGCACGCGGTAAAATACTAGAACGTGATGCAATTTCTTCTGGCTGTGAAAAAATTTTGTTAATAAAAACATTATTTACCACAATTGTATTAAAACCCGCACTACACTTACCGAAACATTTATATCCAGATCGTAAAATTTGACGCCAAGTATATCGTGGCTATCTGAGAGGTCGCCGGTTGTCGCGGACAGACCCAGAAAATAGCCGGTTGGTAATTCAACATCGTTCACCACAAAACAATTCTTCCATTCACCCTTATTCTCCATATCCGTAGACACGGAAAGTATATCATTCTCATAACGTATGCTCACATGTGTATCAAAGTCTACATTGCGGAAGCGCACTTCACAACCTGCCAGTTGTGTATGTGTACCATCGCGATCATGATCATAACTCCATGTGCCATTATTAATCATAGCACTGAGGTAGGGATGTTGGTGCTATTCAAATGGAAACATTTTAAAAATGTATGGCAAAAAATGTACTATTAACTTACATTATGTGGACCGTTGTGATTGCTGTACGTATCTAGAATAACCGCTAAACCAGAAAAGTAATCTTTGCTGCCAAAAACAGGGCCTGGTTGCATACGTTCTTTGGTGTACCAAATTGAAAAACCATCCCCATACAGTTCATTGCCTTTACCGTGTACTTTAAATGTCACATGCAACTCCCAATTACGCGTCATTACGGGCTATTCAATAAAGAGACATTGATTAAACATATCTATTTTTTACGCAGAAAAAAAACTTACCGAGTAATTCCAAAGTGCACCGCTTTTAGACTGCAAGTCCGGCGTCAGTCTTATGTAGTTACTAGTTACCATAGTGTGACCTAAGAAATCCCAATATGGTAAATTTACGCCAACGCCTATTAAGGAAGAAAATTACAGATTTTAAGTGACCCTGGACTCCTTAATATTCTTTATTTCGTTGGTGTCGTTTTAATTAATTAGCAATGGGAATACGACAGCTTACCTTGAAAGGGACGTATCAATGAATGCTCACGTTTCATGTACTCATTGCCACTCACAGAGCATTCGCTGTTTTTTAAAACAGATAATAAAAGTATTGATAACAACTTGACTAAATTCTCCCAGAACACATTCGACATTTTTTGCAATGTTATATGGAATACTCAAAAAATTCGCTTTAATTCTACAACTGTCAAACGATCATTTACGTTTATCTTGAGAATGTTCGGTGAAAGCGCCGGGCAATAGTTTTGTTTGATTTGTATTTTCCTACACTCAAGGTTGCATTAATTACATAATATACTTTCCATTGTTCGGAGCACTCAGAGCTTCTTCATATACAGAAAATAATTTTATTTTATCATAACTGATAGAAACTCTTAATACCAGCAACTATTTCGTAGTATTTCACTCTTTGAAACTTTGGTTAGCACGAACTAAACTATAACTTTATTTATATTATGTCTGTTATCATAACGCATTTCCCTAGATTATACGGTTCGGCAGCACCCTGTTAATGGTATAACGATGAGCAATTATATCGATAAATGTGTATATTTATGTACATAGAAACCGATATATATTGCGAACCACTATTGTTTACTATTTAATCTTAACAAATTGATTCAAAGCTGTCATAATTTGAGGAAAAGACATGTTTCAAATTTCTATTAGTTGAATAAATAATTTGAAACGATATTGCACGGAAACCGTTTTAAGGTTAAAGAGCAATACACGAGTGCATAAAATGGATGAGCGAAATTTCCGTTCGAGTTACTATGAAAAAGTGGGATGCTATTCCGTTGAAGAAAAGAAATCGCTAAATAAACTGCTCCAAGACAATATACGTAATCACTCAAAATTAAAGCAGTTTTGTCTAAGTTATACTGTACCTTCGGCACAACGTGGCCTATTGTGGAGTATTATACTTGGTGTGCTGCCATTACACAAAAACTCTATGGATTATATACTACTACAACGCACTGCCGTTTATGAGGATCTGCACCGCGCAGTCACTAAAATGCAATATATCGATCAAACCTCACCTAAAAGTAAAGTGCTACAGACAATGTGGCTTTTGGAAAATGGTCGACTGTTGCACCCGTTAACCGGTCCACCGGACGATGATAACAATTTTATGGAAATTGTTAAAGTACTTCTACAAATATTTGATAATGATGTGGAGACTTATTGGATAGCCAAAGAATTTTTTGCATGCACAAAAGGAATACAGCAAGAATGTGCGAAACTAATGGAACTTACACAGACGTTGTTAAAGCGTGAAGACATTGAATTGAATAAGTGAGTTTTGGTGCAATATTTTTTGTTTAATTTTTTCACATATAATTCCATTGCAGCCACTTGGAGAAACTGGGAGTTTTTGTTACAGGAGAAATATTAGAAAAATTGTACGTAACCTGCTTCGCTGGAGTCATTACTGATACAGCGTTAGTAAAAGTGTGGGATAAAATATGTGGCGGGTCGAGAAAAATCGTTGTCTTTGTCTTCTTGGATTTAGTTAAAACTCTGAGAAACCATGTGTTGGATTGCAACTCGATACTTGACTTAAAAACACTAATTGAACAGGTATAAAAACCATAGATACACTTTAAATATATAAATCAAGCCGATTAATTGTAGGTAAAAGACCAAGACGCCACCATAGTTAACAAAGCCATCAAAACTTGGCAAAGTAATAAGAACCACAATGAGATAACTGTGCACTGATAAACAAAATTTCATTAGGACTGCGCTTTATTTGGTTGTTCCCATCCCGTTTTAACGTCTACATAAAACTTAAATATACTTGAATACAACATCCTTTTTATCTGCAACGGTTTGCAACTCCAATGTCACCGGACACTGCAACCAATACGAGAGGAGCTCCTCAGTGTAACCAATAAGGAAGTACATCTTTCTCGGACTAATTGCTTGGCGCATAATGGCAGCTATTCTTATCATATTATGCTGCCTTTTGATAATCACTTCAGATACAATAAGCGCATGCCAGGTACCAGTCATGAACTTGCGCATAAACACATCTTCAATGGCGGTCTGTGAGGGGCGCAGTCCATCCAACATAGATGCTATTTGCAGCAATAAATACAATTCATTTAAACAGCATAGAATTTGTAATAATAAAATTTTTATACGTACACGTGTTCCATGAATTCCAAGCTTTGCGATGTGCAATATAGTGGGGAGGGTTGGCCATTTCATATGTGAGTGCACGATTACGCTTTGTCGTAACACGATAGCGACCGGCTTGCACGCGATTGCATACTGGACTTGTGTGGAATGCGGCAGCTGTTGCGGCGACTGCTTGAGAACACAAATTTGTGTTTTCTAATAACTGCTGCGCGCACTGCAATGAGAAAATGAGTTTATTATAGTTGAAATAATTGATAAAATTTCAAATACCTTTTTTAGCAGGCTCATTTCTTCCCAAATAGGTTTACGAATAATGACCACGGTGAGCTATCAGCTGTTTATTGTGTCGTAACAAGAAACGTCAAAATGACAGTCAAAACCCAAATAAAGAGAATGAACGTTCTCTGCCAAATATTTACCAAAAAGTGCAGAAGGAAAACATAAAAAAGTCAACTTAAATGTCAAGCACAGTAAAAAGGAATTAATTGTTTTGGAGTCGCCAAATTTGTTTCCATCCAATCTGTCTGGATATTAAATTTAATTTAATGAACTTTTTCTAATATTTAATACGAACTGTGCACTTTACTGTTCTCGTTTGTGGCGTGTGTGTGTGATTTTAGTGTTGTACTTTGTGGAAATACAAGTGCTGTGCCAAAATGAGTAGTTCGCGTAATCTCTTGCTACGTAGTCCAGATAGTGAAGAAACCGCCAGCAATGCCTCTAATAATCTTTTATCGAGTTCGCCATCATTATCCTCCCTAAATAAATTGCGAGATACTTTCCGACGTTCAGAAAGTATTTCATCGCAAATTAGTGCATTCGTTTCGAATGCAGCTGGTGTGGTGACGGGTTCAAATAATGCTCAAACGGGCATACCATCGGAAGTTCCATCGGTATCTTCACAAACATGTACGCCCAAAAAACGAAAACCTGGTGAGTTGATGATTTATTTATTTTGATTTATAAATACATTTATTGCGATGTTGTCTGGATTTAATAAACTGTTACATTGTTTTTTGTATGTACATATGTATGTGTACAAGCTGCATTCATGCAAACTTGCGAGTATACGTTTTTGTTATTAAATGCCTGAATTATATGTGATCCAACAGGTGATTTAAGAAATTACGGACGCTTTATAAGGATTAAGCTTTTTTTACAGCACATTCAAAATAAGATAAGATATATCTGATCAGAAACTAGCATTCTTTAATTCAAATATTTTTATCTGGGATTAGGATAGTGGTACGGCCAATATCAGACAACAAAGAACATATAAAATATCCATATGTAAACAGAAAAGTGAATGTCTTAAGGCTCATTTATTTATTTAGGTAAATATTGGCTGAGCTCATTAGCAAGTAGATAATATTTATAGTTTTTATCAGATTATCTTTTTTTATTTCTCCTTAATTAATTTATAAGTGTGTGCTTGGGAAGGATTACGTTGACAACTGCAATTACAATATTGCTGTAATATTTACATACCTACAAATGTCTAAAAATAAATATAATCAAAAGTTATTGAAGTTATACTTCGCAAAAAATATCTAAAGATTACAAATGAATGTCATCTCAATCATTTTAAATGAATAAATGTATGTATTTATGACAATTTATTTACCTGCAAAATCCGTTAAATACCGATTTAACAAAACTCGTGTCCAAGTAATTACAAAGAATCGACTTTTACATCCAGTTAAGTAAAATTTATATACATTTCTGTAGTAACTTCGATGAATGTACCGAAATGACAATCCTTGGCCGGACAAAAATCTCTAAGGAGCGACCCGAGTTCTTATTCGGCCAGGACTGTCAACTCGGCCCATTCCCAGGACTGTCAGGTCTAAATATTTTTATACATCCATAAGAACTTAAATTCATTTATATTAAGCACCTGGTAGTACACTTCAAGGCATTCTTAAGGACTTCCTTGTTTGCACAGTTACGTTCTGGATACTGTAGCGGGTTAAACTCGTACTTATCCAAACTTCACTTTTAAATATCAAACATATGTATGCCCAGCGTGCAACGAGTCCCCTCATGACACTAACCACCTCTTTGCATGTTCTGCTTATCCTACACATCTGACACTCCTATACCTATAGCCCGTTGACGTCGAAAAGCACGTTTCCTGGGCCTCCTAACGGAGATTAGGTACTTGTTACAACAACAACTTCCCTGTAAGCGACAACAGAACTATTATGGTAAAGGCAACTCCAACATCTCTTGTCTATCAAAATACAAATTTCTCGGTAATATTTTATCTAATCTTCAAATATTAAAGTGCATTATTGTAATAAAGGAATAATTATTTACTTAAGGCTGTTGCTCCTGCTAACCACTTACCAATCCAAAGAGGGTTATATCAGACAAAGAACATCATTTGGCAAAACAATCAAGCAAACTCGGTTGCTTAGAATTGATTAAAACTTAGAAAGTCTATCTCTGCTTCCTTTGTAACTTCTGTTATATAGCGCATTTGTTGATATTTGTTGTATGGATGAATTATAATAATCACATACATATTCAAATACTAAACAAAACTTTCCGAATTTCCTATATGCCGCCAATTAAACCGCTACAAATTCAAATAAAGGGTGTTTAGTTGGGAGAGAAACGAAGATAAAATCAATTGCCTTTTGGCCGTCGAAGTGACAGCGCTGACAGTGGAAAATCAATAACGACAACTTGAAAGCAAGTAAATTGTGAGTGAGCAAACTCACCACCGGATATGAGCGAGTGGTGCGAGTAAATTGACGACTTCAAGCAGAGAGCACTAAAGGACACCATTCTATACCTTCAAATTGTGAGAATTGTAAAGCTTGAAGCAGACAGTCATCAGTGAAGTAGCCAGTCAGTCGCAATACAAATACATATTTACCTATTCACTCGCATATTTTACGGTGCAGTATTTGTAAAAACACAGTGAAAATTTGCGTGAAGAATTAATCGTGTTTTTAAACAGTAAAACTATTTTACAGTGCTAATTAAATATAAATGAATAAAAGAAACATTGCAAAAGATATCAGTACTAGCTGTGAAAGTCAATATAAAAGCGAAGAGGCAAAATTTAGTCTACAACAACTTTGTCTTGCATCGATGGTGATTGTGGGTGGGGAAGTGCGCTTCGATTTTTCACCAGAGCTTACAATATTCGATTCACGCAAGCTATAATTACATTTCACAGCAATTTTGTGACTTCAAATAAACGACAGATAAAGCCAACAGTGTTTTTATTATCACACCGTGGAGTCTGGGCCAATTGTGTACATTCCCAGGTTATATCTTTCCAACAATTTGATTTGGCTTATGCGCACTCAATACCCGTAACATGCGCTCCCTGGCTGACGAAACCAGGAAATTAACGTTGAACAACAACAATAACAACCACAGCGCATCGACTACCATAGCGATTGTCACGCAGTCAAATAGCTCGAATAAAATTTACAAGATGCAACAGCAAGTCAATGTGATGACCAGCGCCACCATGGGTGTTCATCAAAAGCAACATCAACAACAGCATCAGCAGCAACAAAAGCAACTTAAGCAACAGCAGAACAACAACTCCACAACAATTAGCCTGCCCAAGGCTTCACATGCGAATACAAGTGAAGAGATTGCCGGCGGCGTACAGGACACTATCTATTTGTGCAACTTTCGCGTATCGGTTGACGGTGATTGGCTGTGCCTGAAGGAGCTACAAGATCTTGACATTGGACAGCAGCATAGCGGCGGCGGTGGCACCAGTACCAGCGTCTATGGCGTACAACGCGGCACACAGCTGGGCCAAAAGAACAAACGCTATTCGGGAATGTCGAATGGGTTGGATGATAATGGTATATTGACTGTCCGTAACTTGCTGGGTCGTCGTTTTAACGATGCACCCGAACATGTGCACAAGACGAACGGTTCGTCATCGTCGTCGTTGTCGCACTTGCTTACCGCACGACATGCACATGCAGATAATGGCTTGATTGGTGTGTTTGGTGTTGGTGGTACTGGTGAATGGTCCAATCACCGTAGGTTGCTTTTTTCAACTAATTTCCATTGCAATATTTTCACATACTACACTCACACACACACGTGCATATGTAAATAGTAGATTCATGTTTCTTTTTTTATGTTTTTTTTTTTTTTTTGTTTTTATTTCAAACACAACGCATTTTTTTGGTTTTAATTTTCAAATAATTTTGTTTCAGTAAGAAATTCTCTAAATTCAAATCAATCACGAGAGAACGTATAATACTATAATACTATACGTTCTGTGCAATCACTTTGTATGTGCCATAATTGTTTCATTTGTGTGTAGTAAACAATCAGTAATAGCTACCCTGCAGGAAAATATCTGGTTTGCAAATTATTGCAAGTTGTTCTGAATTAGATTTTCGCTGATTCTTCTTTTAACGTACATACATACATAAACTCTAGGCAATGTGAAAATATGCACAACCAATCCAGACTCCGCTTGTAAAATAATATATCTTTTACATACATAAATATGTATCTTTTTTTTGTAATTCTCCGTTTTCTCATATTACTTATGATTCATATGTCCGTTTTTATTAAAGCTCTGTAAATGTTCTCAAAAAACAAAAAATTTACATCCCTTTCTGTTTCGACCGTTATTTAATAATTTATATTTATATGTCTTCATAAATTCATGTTTCCTACAGGTTGATTGTCTGCCAGTGTTGATATCCGTATGTATGAGCATTCACACCTGATTGCACTTATTTCACTTGCATGATGGTGATGTCATTCTGCGTTTTTACTATTAAAGTATCCTTATCCCAAGCATCACTTATAGGTGCCATAAATTTATTTGTTGCTTACCTAGAAGTGTGGTAGATAAACCTCTTGAGAACAATGCATTAGACGTATAGTGGCACTCACACATCCATCTTGTGGTTAAAGTGTCTTAAACATTATATTTTGGAACTTTAGTTGAAATGGCTGAACATTTTTGTTTAAGTAACGCTTGATTCTTAGCTTTATTGATGAAAGACATCCAATGAAATATTTGATAGGGCTAATGGTGCTTGAATATTAATAATCGAAACGAGCTTTTTATTGATCAAGATATAAGAAGAAAAATTGGTTATCTGTATTAAGCACATCTTGTATGTAAAGAAATTTATAACAAATCTGAAGGGGAAGTAATAGATAAAAATAGTCCACCTATAGAACCTTTAAAACTTCAAAACAACTGTGGAAAATTTATCTTCAAAAGCCCTCTAGCATTTTCACTTAAGCTTTATTGAATTGTAACATGACTATGAAAATAAAGGACTCCAATTGCAGCATTCGATATTATTGGTCGTTTTAAGTTCTCGAACTGTTTAATTCGATTATTTTATGTTGCGCCTATGCATAATATATATATTTTTTGGTCTCTCTTCTACAAGATGTACTGTTGATCCATTTATTTAGACACCTTTTAATGTCAGAAATACACTCTGATCTTTGATATTGCCATGAAAAGACTGTCAACATAAGAAAACCAAAGTATACATTTTTAAAATTTCGAGTTTGCGATTTGCTCTTATCTCGAAGCTCGCAGTCTTCAGTGGATCCACACTATTTGCAATGTCTTTTTTTTTTTTTAATCATGCTGCCAGCAAGATCCCTTATTTATTTAGCGAAAAAAATTGTTTAAAAATAATGCAAAAATATACATAAATAATGTGAATAAACACTTGCGTTAAGTAAATAGAGAAATAAATACGCTATTGTGTCGATGCTAGTTGATTGAGCTGCGATTTATGTGTCGTACATGGTTTCCCAACTGCGTGAACCTTTCGAGTGATCGCGGGAGGCTAGACGTTCCGGCTGCGGCAATAAGGGCTGGTATTCTTCAATCTGTAATAAGAATATTTAATATTGGTTTATATGAAAGTGATACCTTCCTATACACTACTCTTCTTATTGTCTGTGGGGATGGTACGTTGTATGCCCAAGCGCTTCGTGCTATCTGAACTGGATGAACTTTTTAGCTCTGCACCGCCACCAAGTCGTGATTTCGGTGGTGCTGTTGCTTTAGATTTCGCCGGTGATGACTTGGTTTTCGTTGGTGAGGGTGAGGCAGATTTTTTCTTCTTCTTCTCATCTATTGTGACCACTTTCTGTTTGCCTTTTTTCGCTTTTTGACGCACTTTACTTTCGGGCTCGGACGAGGAATAGTAATCGAGTGAGGTTGTTTCGATAATGGGTGCACTTTCCGATTCCTTGGTGGCGCGCTTAGAGCATGGAATGCATTTAGCAGCCGGTTGACAGGCCAGCGACGATGTGGAAGTGGACGCGCGTCGGTCTGTAAAGTTGAAATTGATTAGTTATAGGCTTCACTTTTTACATTTTTTGTGTGATCTACGTGGTTGTGTCGCTATAACGGATTTCGTCTCGGGCTTAATAACGATCTCTTCATCGCGTGGTTTCTTTCTGCATAGTAAAAAGCTGCACCATGCAGGGCATTTACGCTTTTTTTTCGGTGGCTTTGGCTTTGGCTCAGTCTTACGCCTACGCTTACGGTATCGCAATAACATAGCGACAAGCAGTATAATCAGTAATATGAGCAGTATAAGTCCGATAATGCAACAAAAATACTTGAGATAGTGTTTTTGTTCTTCCGAGGTCAACTTGATTAGGGACCCGGCGCCACCATGCTTTCCACCCTTTGTTTTACACTTTGGCTTCTTGCCTTTATGTGTTTGATTTTGATGTATTTGCGGACCATGTTGGCTTTGTTGACCTTTAGACTTTTCGCAAATCTTTCGGCTCTGCAATTGCCTGTTGTCATTGGCACTCTTCTCAAACCAGCGTTTACTATTGAGCATTGTTTTTCTGGCGCTCTCCTTCATCTTGTATTCCAAGGCCTTTTGTGCGAGCTCCATGTCAGAAAAGCCATCGTCGCTTTTACTATCGCCAACTCCACCAGTGTCGCCCATTCGCGTACCGCTCAGATCCTCTATGCCTTGATTGAGCGCTTCATCATCATCCATGTCCAGCGCCTTACGACCTTTTCTCAATTTTTCAACAATCCGTAGGACGCCACCCAGACCGGGATAGAACTCCTCGTCGGATAGATGTGGCTTTAAGTTCTCATTAATCCATGCTATGAATTTGCAATTGAAAGTTTCTTGTGGCATTGACTGTGACTGATAACAACGCGTGACTATTTCGTAAAACCGTAAAATTATAAAAGCGGATTTCTGTGATCTGAGATCATAATTGCGGCGCTTCCGAAACGGCAACCATATATTACTCAAACCATTCTCAACACAATCGGCCTCCAGTTTTGGCAAAGATACGAGCATAACATTTTCATCGCCATCATTGGCCGGTAACATTTCAAGCCGTGCACAGCCGGTAGGTCCGCCACCAGCACCGTTGCCATCGGCACCACAGTCCGAACCCCTTATTGAGTCCACACGCACATTTTCCATTTCCTCAAGTAAAATGGGCATTTTCCAGCCATTGCCGTTCGTGTTCAGAAAGGACTTGCATTGCTGATACAGCTCTACCACACTACTGACCACCTTGAGACTAACCTTGCCGCCATAAAAAGAGTACTTAGCCACTGGCAGCATGTAAGAGCGCAAGTAACCGCCCAACATGTCGTAATAAGCGCGCTCAACCACCTTTCTCGAAGCCTCGTTCATTCTTTGTATAAACTCATTGCCATTGTAAAAGTAATTCAGCAGTATATTTAACATGTCGTCGTTGAGTAGACATTTCGGCAAATCTTTCGGCAGCAAGTACTGTAAAAAATGAGAATTTTGGGGTATCTTTACCTTTGTGCAAGCATAAAAGTAACCACACGTTACCTCAAAGTCTCTACGTGCGGCCAGCAAATTCAAATCTTCCGGCGAAAAGCAATTCTTACGTGTACTATCAAAAAGATTCGAACCCACAAACTCATTCAATTCCATATTGGATATATCTTCCTCTTCAACTCTACGTAAATACTTCAGTTTTCTTGTTGGACCTTCAACAGGCTGGTATGAAATACCGTTCAGCTTGCACGTGTCCTCCACATCGAATCGGTCCTTGTCATTGAGTACATGAAAATTCATTATACCCTGATTAAACTCGCTATTAAGGTCGGCGGCAAGCTTCAGACCGTTCGCGAATTGACTAGGCTGCTCGACGGTGCGCAAATCGAAATCGTACACTGGACAGCCGCCCGGACAAAGCAGCATCAGCAGCACTAGAGACACACATATTTTCATCTTTTCATGTCAAATACTTTTTCAAAACTGATAATTTCATTTCTCGTGCCGATTGACGTCTACGGCAAATCAAATGCCCCTGCGATCAATTGGAAATATCTACAGTTTTTATACGAATTTTCTTGTTTTGTTAAGTTTTCATTTGATTATGCTTTTCGATATTCAATATTTTCAGTTGCAAGCAAATTCTGATACGCTACTAGTGTGGGAATGCGTAGATAACGTAAGTGGTTGTGGGCGTGGCTAAAAAATATAAGGTATAAGACGAGTGTGCGCCGATTGCAAGTAAATATTGCGAGAAATTTCTGTGAAATCAGATTGTTATACTCAGAGATCTCTCTCGAGTAGATTTTTTTAAAAAAAGTGCCTGAAGATCATCTTATCCACTTCAGTTGTCAAACTGACGTCGATAACTTAGCAGCTGGCAACTGTAAAAAGAGAGTGTCGTGGCTTCACCACGTTCGGCGCAAACTCGTTATTCTCTCGATTGGGGGGTGTGTTTGTATTATGAATTTTTGAGTGCTGAAACTGATCATGTTGATCACATGAATACATAAACCAGACTTTACCGCTAAACGGCCAATTCAACTTGGCTAAACGCACATCTTACAGTGTTTAATCGTTACAATTCGACGACTTGTACTTTTAGCACGCGATCCAGCCGAAATCGAACGCAGCAATCTCGTAAATATTTGCAAACTCGTGGTGAAGGAATTACTAGAGCAATCGCTACGTTTCGGACGTATGTTGGATTCGGATCACCTACCACTGCAACACTTTTTCATTGTCATAGAGCATGTACTAGGTCATGGCTTGCGTCCAAAGAAGGTGTGTAAAACTACTTTGTCAACCCCGCGAACGTTGTCTTTATACAACCTAACCGCTTGTTTTAGGGTCTTTTGGGGCCACGCAAAGAATTGTGGGATCTGTTGCAAAGCGTAGAAAACTATTGTCCCGAGGCGCAGGACATCACCGCAAGTGTACGTGATTTGCCCACCGTGCGCACACATATTGGACGCGCTCGCGCTTGGCTACGCATAGCGCTGATGCAGAAGAAATTGGCCGATTATCTGCAGGCACTTATCGAACATCGAGACGATTCGCTCTACGAATACTACGAACCGCATGCGCTTATGATGAGCGACGAGGTGCGTCATTTAATACCAGTGATTTAGCTGTTACAACACTTTTAAACACTTCTTCGTCTTTTCTTGTGTCTCTCGCCGCAGATTGTGGTCATAATGGGTATTTTAGTGGGTCTAAATGTCATCGATTGTAATTTGTGCGTGAAAGAGGAGGATTTGGATTCACAACAGGGAGTAATCGACTTCTCGCTTTACTTGCGTTCGAGTTCACGCAGTAACGAGAACGACGAAGAGACCAATCAGTCACTGGAGGCGAATGGTCAGGGCAACATGATTGCCGTGTTGGACCAAAAGAACTATATTGAAGAGCTCAATCGGCACTTAAAGTATGCTTTCTATTGTATTGCTTTGAAGGTTATGTAGTCAATTGCGCAACACAAAGGCGAACGATTTTCAACGATAATTTAGTGGTGAAAGTTACAAGTCTGGGAACTTTACAGCGAAAGTAGATTTATACGAATTAAAAAAAAAAAAAAAGTCGATACTTTTTTTCCAACTTACGCATACAATACCTCCCTTTCAATATAAATGAAATGTTGACTTGACCACTTTGAGGCTTTTGAAAATTAGTAGCCTTGTGTTGCACAATTGCGTGCTGATCCTTTGCTACACGAGACGAATTTTATTTTATCACTTTTGTGATTTGCCTTTAGTGCCACAGTCGGTAATCTACAGGCCAAAGTTGAATCCCTGACAACAACAAATGCGCTCATGAAGGAGGATCTAGCGATTGCGCGCAATAGCCTTTTAGCCTTACAAGCCGAAAATCAGGCACTACGTCAAAATGCCACCATTACCAGTACGTATACCCAACCTTTTCTTGTCCTGTTCGCAGTGTGATCATATTCGGTTCCGATATGCATAAAATTTACATATTTCCCATAGAAGATGTTCCTACATCAAACGCGGAAGCCAGTCCAAACAAATCGTCCGATCGCGCGAATAAAGCAGCGATCGAAACACTCAACGCCGAATTGAGTGAAGAGAAAAAGAAAAATGCCGAGCTCGATAAGGAGTTGAAACTACAAGTATCCCTGAAGGCCGAATCCGATGTCGCAATGAAATTGCTTGAGAAGGATATACACGAAAAGCAGGATACAATCGTGTCGCTGCGACGACAATTGGATGATATAAAACAAATTAACTTGGAAATGTATCGCAAATTACAGGTGGGTACGACGAGGTTAGGAAAGAAATTCGTGCGAAGTAAAAGGATAAACACTTTTACTTTAGTAGCTCATTTGAATAATTTTTCCAAATATATAAGGGAAATTGAATTGAAGCGATTTGATTTCAATTAAATAAAAATAACGAATTTCATGCTCACAAGGTTTCGGAATTGTCTAATGTAGTCAATTAGCTGATTGAGTAAATTAAATGGCTGTCTGAAACGCCTATTTGTGGAATAAAATGCATTAAAGTAAATTATCAAAATTTTAACGATAAAAAATAATAAAAATTAATAATAGAAAATAATTAATAATTTAATTTTTAAATTAATAACATTGATTTTTAAATTTACATATATATTTTTAAAAAGCTCAAAATAAAATTAATAACGTTATATATAAATTAATATAAAATTTTTTTGATATAGAAACAAATATTTAATTAAATTAGCTTAAGTCCTGGTAAATGAAATTTTTTCGAATATGTTAATTAATTATCTAATAATTTTTTCTTGATATATTGACTTTAAATGAAATTAATTTTTCAGTAATATATAAATGGACCGATTTGTTATTAATCTTGTTTATTATTAAAAATGTTTTTTTATTAATTATTAATTTGAAGTTTATTTTTAATTAATTAACAGATTAGCCAAAATTTAATTGATCAAGACTAAAATAATTAATTTAATTAAATAATTTTTCTAAAATATTTAAATTAATTTAACTTCAAACAAACACACAAAATAATAAATAATTAACAAAAACAAATTGCCAAATTATAATAGCATGAAGTCAATTAATTAAAATAATTAAATAATTTTTTAAATATGTTGATTAATTTCGCTTCATAAACATAGACAAATTAATTAACAATTAACAAAAAATTTTCCCAAATATAATCACAATGAACTCAATTAATTCGAAAAATTAAGTAATTTTTTTTTAAATTGTGTTAATTAATTTAGTTTCATAAATATACCAAATTATAATTGCCCAAAATAATTGCAATGAACTCAATTAATTAGAGTAATTAAATAATTTTTTAATGAAAAATTAATAAATATACACAAATTAATTAAGTTAATTCAAAATTTACAATAAAAATTTATAAAAAATTATTGATGTGAAATAAATTAATTAAATAATTCCCTTTTTAAATAATTTAATTTCATAGAAATTTATAAAAATTTAATTGAAAAAAAATTTCAATAGTTTTATTTCAAAGAAATATATAAAATTTTAATTGAAATAAATTTATTTATAATATTTTCATTAAATTTATTAAGCTCCAACTTAATCCTTTTTTACATATATATCGATTGAACAAATTATATTAATTACCGTACTTAATTATTTTGTAATATGTAAGCCATATACTATATTTAAAAGTAATATTTCTCTAAACACAATTTGCATTACGTATATATGTATGTACGTTCTTTATACCGAACCATTCACAAAATGTATGCCTAATCAGGAATGTGAAGACGAACTGACCCAAAAGGGTGAAATGGTCTCACGCCTACAAACCAAAGCTTCACAAATCGGCAACATACTGCAATCGCTCGAGAGGAAATACGAATCTAAGCTAGAGCAACAACAGCAATTGACTGGCCAACCCATTGGCGACAAATCGCCCTCGTCACGACGTCAACAAAATCTACAGAAATTCGAAGCGCTGACCAAAAAGCATCGGCAGGACATTGGACCGCCGGTGAAGCGTTTGCATTTGAAAGTCGACGCCATACCGCCATTCAATCCCAATAATTATCGCAAGTCACCATCGGCAACGGTCGCACCCGACAAATTAGAGGCAGAGGGCGAACTCAAAACGCCAACCTCAGCGAAATCGTTCACCGAAGTGGCTAAATCCTATCCGGACAAGCCGATGGACACCTGCAAAAGTGACTATGCCTTGTCGCAAGAGAAAATCTAAAACTGAAAATATGTTAGACACTTAATTAAGCATTAATTAAATTCAACATTACTTGATGTTAAGCATTTATTTTACAAAAAAAAAAAAAACAAAATAATAATAATAATCGAAAATCATTTAGAAAACTAGTGGAAAGTTTCGTTAGCGATTTCTATTAGTCTTGCCAGCGATATGTATGTGTTAAGACACAGCAAAGCTGCAAGAAATTATGTAAAAATCTTTTTGAAAATTTTGAAAAAGTTAATTGAAAGTTTAAATTCTTAATTAAAATCATATTTCATTTGGAAAAATATAAAATAAAATAGAACAACAACAATAATTATGTATAATTGTCGTTAGCGTAAAGTATGGCTTACATTTCTCAAGTCTTTATAGCTGTGAACGTCATTACTAATACTCATATTCGCATACTAAAGGCCTTTTTATTAACTTAGGACATATATTTTGACGGAAAAATACCTACATACATACATATAWTAAAGAAAGTGAGGAGTTTAGATAAATACATACATACATACATACATATTTAGCTACATATACAAACATATATCGTTGTTAAAAATATGGATATGGATGTTGAAATGTATTCGAATTTTAAGATAAGCCACAAAATATCTGCGGTCTCTTCAAAAGTACAATGCTATATTCTTACAGATTACATACATACATACATGTAAACATAAATGATATGATACCTGTGCGTAGATATACCGAAAAGTTACTATGTATGTACACATAAAACCAATCAGAGGAATTTAGTGCTCAGACATTATAGATTATTGCAACCAAACATATATAATTAAACATAAGCGTACTTTAAGGAGTTACATCCACTTCAACATAAAAAAACTTTTTTTTTCTAAATTTTTCTTACAGAAGCATTTTATTTAATGATTTAATAAAAATAATTTCTAGATATTTACGGAAATTAATGCACATTAATAATACTAGTTTAGAGTTCGATATTAGAGGCAATGGTAGATTTTGGGTTGCTAGATACGAAAATTATAGCAAAAATTTCATAACACGTAAGTTTTTTTGTGCTGTAGTCAATTGGTGTAGGGTTGACTCCCACCATTCACTAAAATGACTAAAATAGCTGTATGTAATGGAAAATTTTTGAACTCAAATTCGTAATCTGGACACTCTAAAGACCTCTTAGCACATCAGTCGCAAAATTTTCCTTCAGATTGGTTGAGAGTGTAATCGGCATTTATTTTTAAAATTCTTGGATTTCATTGATCTCGCAGCCGTTCTCTAGCCAAACCACCGAAAAAATGTGTCTGGATATGACAAAGATTTCATTCCAAAAACCAAAACGGAAAATATGAGTCTTACAGAAAAATACAGCCATAATTATTCACATAATGTTGGTTTCGAAAACAGACGTCTTTTGTGAAGAAAATTACACTTAAGATTGGCTGAAAAGTCGGAATTACCAACAAAAATCATATCTTTCGTTTATTATCTTGAGAAAGGTAAAAAAAATCGCACAAGAGTTTTTCTCGTATAACTGACGTCTTTTTGGTTCTAAACGCTTAATAAAAAAAAAAAATACAACTTCGAATATTTTTCGAAATTTCGAAAGTTATTGCTATTTAAATTGTTTTGCATGCTTTGGAATTTTTTTTTTAACATACACAGCCGATTAATAAAAAATACAAATTCGAAAATTATTAAAAATTCGAACAATTTTGAAAGTTCATGCTAAAATTTTTCATTACATGCTTTTGGAAAATTTTTTTTTTTCTTTTAACATAATAAACCTATTTCGAATTTCGAAAATGACAGTTTTATTTTTGGAAATTGAATTGTTTAGAACCAAATAACGGTTGTTGTACAAGAGAAACTCGACCAACGAAAAAAGCAGGTACCCATGAAAGATTTGGTCTCTAATCTAAGACGGTCTTGAGAAGATTTAAAGTCGCTTAGTCCAGTCATTTCGAAGAAATTTTTCTCGCCGACTCAGAAAACATTGTTACGAGAAAAACGCATTTAAAGTTTGGGGAACCGCTTAGATTATAATAAAATTTTTTTACAAATATTCGGAGAACTTATGAAAAAAAGCAAATCGAAATGAAATTCACAAGTGGATGCAACCCCTTAAAATGCATAGCAATAAAAGCATATTAATATATCGTCACCTAAAATGCAAAACAACGTATCATCAAAAATATCGAAATAAAATTTTTCATTGCTTACGATATAGCATAAAATTTTCAGCTTCCGTTGTTAGGTATAACCAATATGTAACCATTTTATAACCAATTTATAACCAAAACTCAAGTTTTGTTTCTATTTGTGTGGTTTCTATTATGTCGTCTTTCCTTCGCCTGTAAACTTATGACGAGTTATGTTACGTTATTTTGCATTTTATGTGACGATATGTGGCATTATTAACTAGTCAGCGTCATTTTCGAGTCAAAACCGACTATTCATTAATTTAGCTTCCCGTTCAAAAGTAAATATGTACGTGTGCATACAAAAATTTTTTATTATAAATATTCGCAGCCTTTAGCGCTTATTGAAATTTACTTTATTTAACTAAAATTAATTATTATTGTTAAACATAAAAGCTAGTCAATATTCTATGTGGCCTATTAGCTCTAGTCTAAGCAAGTGTTAATTGAAAAATCAGTATTTGGTTCAATTTGAGACAACAAAACATTATTCTGTGATTAGAAGAACAACAACAGTTTATTGAACTAGTCATTATTATATAATTTATTTGCTCTTTCCTTTGCCGAATTTAGCACTCTATATACCATATGTACTAAGATTATCTAATATACTCGTATATACCTTATAAATGCAAATTATACTGTATTATACAAAATATAAATTGAAAGTAAAATTAAATTAAATTTAAGTAATATGTATGTATTAATTAAATTAAAATAAAGTGAATAAAAATACAAATTTACTTAAAACTGATATTAATTCACGAGTGCATCTCTGCTTTCTGCTATTTTAATGCAAAATTAGGAATGCGATGCTTCGCTCAAGCATAAAAGCGAATTGCTCACAAAGCTGGAGAGTCAAAAGGAAGACATGGCCAGCACAATTGCACAGCTGGAGAAGAAGTAAGATTTTCGTTAGCTATTGAGTTATTTCAGAGAAGTTGTGTGAAATTGTGAGTATCGAAAGTGAGAGTATGATTCTAGAGCACCCTTTATAAAAATACTGCTGTGCATTAGTTTCTTCCCCAGCAGGCGGTAAATGTATCTAAAATCCATGACCCTAAAATTCAGTACCGATAACTACTACGACGGCAACAACAACCAGACAATCTTTTCACCTAACACCCATTTAAACGTTGTTGAACCTTTGTAAGTGAGCAACATAAAATATTTCTGGAAATATGTTTGAAATATCGCTTAGGATGGTCAGGTATAAAATCGGCTGCAATAAAGCTATAATAACCTTCACAATTGCATTTTTATTAGGGTGTAAAGAGAGAGAGAGAGTAAGAGCTTTATACAGATTTTGATCGATCAGTTGGCCGATCTAAACAATTAGTTCGAAAATTTTAGTACGGTGTGAAAAACAATATTTTAGATTCGGTCATTGCGACGCCATTTCCGGTGACCCCACGGAAAATGATGCGCCCGCGTTGGCAGAATAACTCTTTACAGAATCATCTAAAGTGAAAAAAATCTAAGTTAAAGTTTTAACTCTTGGACAAAGCGAAAAAACTGAAAACTGGATTTTTGGCATAAATTTTTACGAACAAGAGAAATTTCAGTGAAAATTTCGCGATATTTTTGTTTCAAATATTATGGTTGAAATCGAAAAAAATCCTTAGCCAAGGCTTTAAGAATTGGATCTCAAAAACCTGTGTAAAATTTCATGAAGATCGGTTGTGCTATTCTCGTGAAATCTTGCCAACCGACTTCAAAAACTCAGTTTCGAGAAAAAACGGTTTTAAAGGCGGCGCACTTAGCCTAGCTATCCTCGAACGCACAAGTTCTTAAGGCTGTATCTCCGAAATTATTTCTCTGATCCTCTTGAAAATTTAAGACAATATTCTAGAGGTGCTAAAAAATTTAATAATACACTTAACTCGGTAGAGTTTCACTTGCTTTACAAATCCATAAAAGGTCGTCTAATCAGTTATTTTCTTCTTCGATGTTAATTTGGAATACACATTTAAGCGTGATCTTTCGCTATTTGATCGCTCCGATGAGATCCTCTTCTGCATATTTGGACTAATACCTATGACTGGCTGGCAGGCAAATATGCCTCTTTATCTTACAGCCGTATACTTGAACATTCCAAAAGGCTCCTTACTAAACATTGCTGTCATTTGCGATTCGCATTACTTATTCTTTAAAATTAGTGATCATCCCCGTCATCACCCGATTAGAAAATTCGATTCTTTGATATATTTGCTACAAATCTTCTCTTTAAATACGGTTGATATTCTTTAGAAGGAATAATTTGAACAAAATCTATACAATGACGATGAGTTGAGTGGATTTCAAACCCAACAACTTTTGATATATTCCATTGAGTTAGAGCTAAAACTATAAAACCCAATGACAAGAACAGTCAAATAAGCTTTAGCTTGAAACCCCCACATTAGAGACTTCGGTCTCATTCAATAAGTCTACGGTATCTCGTTTTAAAAGTTGTCCTTGTTGGAGAAGGCTTAGCTTGTTGTTGTAACGGATATCTAGTCCCTGATTTGGTGGAAAGGCGCAAGTTAATTGCCATCGAAATCTCCTAACAGAAGGTCCACAAACATGCTGTTTTGGTGTGATCGCACGGTTGGGAAAGGTGTGTTGGGTGAGTTGATTTTATGGGGCATAAATTCTATAATATTCTACTCACTCCAAAACTCTCGATCTCACAGTTTCACATGCTCATAAAATAGAAATATTTACAACAAAAACAATTTTGCTTTTATTAATTTTATCAAAAAAATCTTTCTTCATTTTCTGAACACACAGATGGGACAATGATAAAAGCAATTTGGGCGAAATACTCAAGAATACCTCACAAACATTGTCCACACAGGTGAACGCATCCGAGGAGCGAGCCGCACGCGCCGAAGCTGAGGCGCGTATAGAACGCGAATGGCGGCTTTCATTGCAAGAGAAGGAAGTGAAGCTGAAGGAGAAAATCAGTTCACTGCAAAATTGCATAAAAGAACTCACCGACGAGGCACAACAGAGTGCCAAGCTGCGGGTAGAACTCGACAAAATGCGCACACAATGGACGGAGGCACAAACCACACTCGAAGAGTTGGGCATACAGTTAAGCGTTAGCAAATTGAAAGTCTCCGAATTGGAGGAACGCGAAAGAAAGCAGCAGCAATTGCGTTCGTCCGATCTGTCGCTGCAGTCACCCTCGGAGGTGGGTAGTGCCGGTATATGGGCGCCAGACTCGATTGCCACACATTGCACGGCCTGCAAGAAAGAATTCGGCCTGACGCGTCGAAAACACCATTGTCGCAGCTGTGGCGACATCTTCTGTAACACATGCTCGGAGCACACACTGCCACTACTCAACGACCAGGGGCAGCTGGGAAAGCCGGTGCGTGTTTGCTATCGTTGCTTTGAGACGCGGAAATGATGATGCTTTCACAAATTTGCATTCATTTAATTTTGTATTGTAGCTAAAGGCATACAAAGCCTTTGTATTTAATATGTATGTATGTAAATGTTCATGTATATGCATTCTATATGTATTATCAGTGTGTACATATACTAAATCTATTTATCAATCTTGTATTTGTGTGTATTGCCGAGTTAAAGTAAAATTCTGTGCAAGCTCGCTATTTGTAATAGAAATCGCCAACTATTTTAAACGTGTACAACTTGTCTATATACATATGTATGTATTTACAGTGACAAATATTGTGCGAACCTATGAAAATATTCTAATTTTTTAGTGTAATAAGCGGTACGCGCTCGTATTTTAAATTGTATCAAATATGCTTGTATTCAATGTATTGAAATATTTATTACTTTTCATACAAATATACCAGTTACAATTAAAAAAAATTATGGAAAGGCAATTAATTTCTCTGAAATTTTATTCTGAAAACAGTACTAGGTGGAATATCATGCAGTTGTTAATTAAAGTTAGAATAGTGTGGTAGGTACGAGAATGTAGTAATTTTCAATCATATGTAAGTAAGCAAAATTAATTCACTCTTAATAAATAATTTCCATAACTGTACAGTACTTAGTCTAGCTATAAATTATGTTACAAAGTGTGAAAAAGTGGTTAAAACAGTGGCAAAAGTGTACCAGAAAAATTCTTTAGAGACAAGGTAGAGCAACAATACTCTCTTCGATGATGTGTATCGAATCCTTAAGCAAAAATCTACTCCAGCACACATTGCAAAAATCAATCAGCAGTGGCTTTAAAGCAATATTCCTGATTTAATAGGAAGACCAGATTTAAATTTACGGGACTACTGTTTGTGGGCAGAGTTGAAGAACACGGTCTGTTGAATATCCCACAGAAATTTCGAGAATCTCAAAAAATCTTTGCTTCGAGTAGAGTAGCTATATCAATATGTGTGTGCAGCTATTGATCAATGGCCGTATGTTTTGAGAGCTTGTGTGGAAGCAAAAAATTGCCATTTATATAGAAAAATATTTTTTAATATTTGAAAACATTCACAACACATTATAAACATATAGACACACATATAAAACTTCATATAACTTGATAGATGTTTCAACGAGTTTTCTTCCGCTTCTAATTTGAAACACATACATACATTGCTTGTAGTCACACACTTCTCCTTGCCTCGTAATAAAAATAAAAATTACTTGAATACGTTTCATTAAACTGGAATAATTATTTGATTACACCAGACATTGGAAATAGCTTTTGTATAATATTTTAAAGTAAACCGAGTATCGGCCGGATGCATATATAGCTTCTGCCGGTTGCGCACGTCCGGAATCAGAATTAGAATAATTTTTTTTTGGATGCACGAATTCCAACTACTATCGAGTCTTAAAACAATGATTTAAAGACTTACAAAATAACGAATAAATGCCTTTTATTCCTTATCTTTTTATGTACAAAAAATAAATAAATTATGAGGTTGCGAACACGGAAAAATATCAAATGGTATTCTTGCATTTTTTTGCACAATATTTCAATGGAAATAGTTTATTTTAAACAGAATTTGCTAATGTATGAGTCAATTAGTGCGTTATCAACCAATACAATTTTCATATATAATATATATGTACATATGACCATGTAATTTGACATACAATTGTTTATATTCGACTGCGACTTTGCGTTTTGTCCTTTCTTTTGCCATTGTAGCATATAAATTCAGTTGGTGTAAAATAACAGAAAAATTTTACTTAATATGATATTTGCTTTCCATTTCAAATAATTTTATAACTGTATATCAAAATATTATATGGTTTTGTATGTCAAATTATTAAATATTTAAATAGTACTAGTTTTCTTCACTTTTCAAATAAGTCTTTGTTTGACACATTTACTTCGTACAACATGCAACCCTGTAGCAAAGCAAATTTGTAAAGGCAGAAAGAATTTAAAAAAGCAGTCGTCAAAATTGGTTGCAATGAAAAGGTTTGTGTTTGGAAATTGTTTACGTGTGGTTATGGAATTAGATAAATTACTTGCAGTTAAAGATTCTACTTGCATTTATTATCATATTCTTTGCAGATGAGTTTGTCAGCATTAAAGATATTAATATTTTAAGCAGACTACTTAAACGCTGTCAATATGTTGTTGTTGGTGCTGTTCCACTAAATTAAAAGGTATAAAATCGATTTTATACTCAGGCAAAAGCGAAGTGGTGTACTTATTTTTGGAACAGTAAAGGTACCACGAGTAGCTGCGTCGGAAAACAATTACGTGCGGAATTGGTCCTATTAACACCTCTGTGTAGCAATGGATAAAGGTGATCACATTTCGGTAACATTGTCCGGTGTCGGTGTGAACGGCACGGAAGAAGAAAGTTTCACTACGAAACAACCACAACGACGTAGTTTGCGACGGGTAAGTACCCCATATAAATACATATGTATATGCTCAATAAATTAACTCTACTTTTGGAAATGAAGAAAGAGTATTATTCTTTTTATTGCGTTGCAGTCTTGGAATCAATTGCCCCGTTGCCAGCGCAACCTTATCATTTTAGCAGTGCTGGCGCTATGCTTAACTTTAGTATTAGTATTATACAATGACCAAATCGATGCGGAGAATAACCGAGTAATTGGCAAAAACGCCGGGGCTTTCTTATTTCGAGAAAATCGCGAAGTGGCAAATAGTGCCGGTCTAGCACAGAATGGGCTAAGCGACGGTTTGAACGCGCTGGATGCGGGAAATCTTAATAATAATCTGAAAAACCCATTGCCAAATATTGGACCACCACCGCTGTCATTCTCAAATGATAATGCGCCGGTATTTAAAGACGTGAGTATATCTAAAAGTAAATAAACATACAATTAGTGGGCGTGCTAGTACGAGTCGTAACTGCAGGCGCCTATAAACCTTATCAATATAACCAGTCGTAATAATACACAAGCCAATGAAATGGGTTTGAACAATTGTTGAATAAATACAAATGTGCACATATGTTCGTACATATATGTAGACCATAGACAGGCCTTCTGAAGAGTTTAAAAGTTGTTTATTTGACATGTGATAAAAAGCATTCTGACAAGGTAACTCGGTAGCAATCAAATATGTACAAATGATTTATTATGTCAACTGGCTTATGTATATGCATATATTTTTTTTTTTTATAATCTGAACAAAAGGGTAACTTTGCAACGAAGGTTGTAAAGCCCTTAACATAAGGAAAGATATCCTATAAAGTATGGTACATACATATGTATATAAATGATCAGTGCGACTAGCTGACCATGACCGTCTGTCTGAGTATAAACGAACTTTTCCATCACATTTAACTTTTGTCAATTCAAATGCATAAGAAATTGAAGGCATATTCTAATATTTCCGCAGTCAACAAAAATTATATATACATACGTAAATGTTAAATATTTTTTATATAACAAAAAATTCTCTGTCAGTCATATTTACATATGTGCTTGCAAATATAATGTTTAAGCATTTCCTTCCACCTTGGTTTGGCTCCTTAAAATTTATAACAATGTTTGGCCACTTTTTCCAGGTAAAGGTGATTGACACACCCAACCTCAATAAGAAAAGTGACGATAACCTGCAACATGCCGGAGAAGGTCCAAAGGAAAGCTTATTACAAGGTCCTTTAGTCGAATTTCCAAACAAAATAAGCATACAAGAAAATAATGACAATCGTATTGACGAACCCGCCGTCGAAGCACAATCTGGCGGTGGTGATGACGATAATCGTGCCGCTTTGGAAGCAGCGATACTAAACCCACGTGTAGTGCCAGGCACCAACAATGTTTTAATTACAGATTATATCAATAATATGGATGCTAAGTTGGTAGCGCAAAAGCAGCATTTCCATGGTGCAACAAATGAGCGGCAAACTGCCGTTGTCGCCGCTTTTAGGCATTCATGGAATGGTTATAAAAAATACGCTTGGGGCCATGACAATCTGAAACCGTTATCGCAGAGCTCACACGATTGGTTCGGTTTGGGTTTGACCATTGTGGACTCATTGGACACCATGTACATAATGGGTTTGGAGGATGGTAAGTTAAATTTTTTGTATACTATGTATTTAAATATTTTTTAAACGTGTTTTTATATCAACAGAATTCACTGAGGGTCGCGAGTGGGTCAGCAATTTCTTGACATTTGATATCAATCGTGATGTGAATCTCTTCGAGGTGACGATACGTATCTTGGGTGGTTTGCTCTCGGCATATCATCTGAGTGGCGATAAAATGTTTCTGAGCAAATCGGTGCGTTGTTCTTAGAGTTCAAATATAATAATCTAAAAAGATTTTTCACTTTCTAAAAGATCGAATTGGGCAATCGCATGCTGCCATGCTTCCTCTCCCCCTCGGGCATACCATATTCGGATGTAAATCTTGCCTCAATGTCAGCGCATTCACCCAAATGGTCGCCGGACAGTTCAACCAGCGAGGTTACAACAATACAATTGGAATTCCGCGATCTCAGTCGTTCGACTAACATATCAATTTACGAAAAAGTAAGTTTTTGACTGTACATAAGCTGTAAAAAGCCTAAAACTTTCGTTTTTTTTATCTTATTGCGAACAGGTAACGCATGCAGTTAATAAGAAAGTGCATGCTTTGGAGAAAACTAACGGACTTGTGCCCATATTTATAAATGCCAACACCGGCACATTCAGAAATTACGCCACAATCTCACTAGGCGCACGCGGTGACTCCTATTATGAGTATCTGCTAAAACAGTGGCTACAGACCGGGCGGAAAACCGACGATTTGTAAGTATTTCAATTATTTTGGTACAACTTTTGCATAAAAATACGCCTAATTCACTTTTCCGCCTCTACACAGTCTCATTGTGGACTATATGCGCGCCATTGACGGTGTGCTCACGAAGCTTTTGCGTCGTACGCCGAAAGAGCAGCACGTCTATATAGGCGAATTGATTAATGGCAAAGACTTCAAACCGAAAATGGATCATCTCACATGCTATCTGCCTGGCACACTGTTGTTGGGCCACAAATTCGGCATGCCCACGTCACATTTATTGCTCGCACGTGATCTACTCGAAACCTGCTATCAAACGTACATGCGCCAGCCGACACAATTGGCGCCCGAAATATCCTACTTTGCGCTCACCACCAATGAAGAGCAGGAGATTTACGTGAAACCCAATGATGCGCACAATCTGCTGCGTCCCGAATTCGTAGAAAGTTTATATTATTTTTATGCCTTAACCGGCAATCGCACGTATCAGGATATGGGCTGGAATATATTCCAAGCATTCGAGAAGCACACCAAAGTGGCCTACGGTTACACGTCCATTGGCAATGTGAAGCATATATTCAATACAAGACTGCGTGATATGATGGAGAGCTTTTGGTTGGGTGAAACGCTTAAGTATTTCTATCTATTATTTAGCGATAATCGCAAAGAGATCGATTTAGATAAGTGGGTAATCAATTCCGAGGCACATTTGGTGCCCTTGCGAAATCACTAAGTTCGTGCTGTTGTTGCTTGCATGTGGGTACGCGTGCGTGCATGTGTGTGTGTTTGTGAAACGTTTGTACGTAACCATGACTATTTTAAAGCCAATCGAATTGAGTTGACACAACTCGCATTGTAAATATATTTACAACAACAACAATTATTTATACAATACTAGCGTGCAATCAAATTTGTCGCATAACAACAAACTACTTTATATGTATATTTATGTATATGTATATTTGTATGCCAACGATATTATTTATTCTATTTTAAATACTTTATAAAATCTACTAACTAAAAGAAATCTGAACGATTAGCAAAGAAAATGCGCACGATCTCCGTTAGTTCTAAACTATGAAATAATTAAACAATTAGAAGAATACCAAAAGCGAAGCGTTGCTCTTATTTTAGAACCAAATTGTCAAAGACCGCAAAATATCGGAACTACGCGCGCCACACTCGCCGTGAGAGAAATTTTTTTTCGTTTTTTTTTTAAGAATAATTTTGGGGTTATATATAAAATCACAATTTGATAACGTTTCTGAAAAAAAAATATATATATATATTTTTGTTAATCGTCTTTCTTGTTTTCGGAGCGCAGTTTTAGCTTCAGTTTCGAATTTCTTTTTAGTACGCAGTTGTTCCAAACTTGTTTCGAATTTTTTGTCAACGTAAAAGATCATCGAGTTTATATATCTATAATATAATGGATAAAAAATAATTGTAAAAAGTGCACTATGCACGCCTAGAACCAAAACTCGACGGATTAGAGATAATATAATAATACTATAATAATTATTAACATATTTTTATCGCACTTGCAGTAAATAAAAGGGGGAAAAAATTAAATTTTGTAATAAATAAATATAGTAATAAAAAATTATTTTAAAACATACGCTTACAAACTTCCGTAACTACATTACATTAAAAGCGACGTGATCCGCACCATAGGCTCTTTTTCTTAGACAATGCATGCGCATTATTGTTGTATTTTCAAGTGGCAAGATTGCACCACATATGTACGTGCGTTGCATGCGTATTCGTGGCCTAATAAATCGAGCGCTGCAACATAATTTACCTAATTTTAAATTAAATTAAATATTTTTTGTAGTTTTTAAGTATTCTCAATTTTCTAATTGCAAATATATTCAAGTTGATATTATTTTTTCTTAGAAAATTTTAAATTTTTCAACTTTTTTGTATAGAAGTTGTTTAGAAATAACGGTAAATTACACTATATTTTAATACTAAAATTAGTATAAATAGCCAGGGTTGCAAATAATGCCGAAAATCTTAATAAAAATTAATTTTAAATTTTTTATTTCTAATGCATGATTGAAAAACAAAATAAACTATAAACTCGAAAAATTAAAAAAAAACTATAATCAAATTTTCTTACCAAAATCGGATCATAAAATTGAAAATTTAGTTTTTAATTCCTAATTGAAAAGAAAATAAGTTGTAATCCCAAAAAATTCAAGAACTTATATTTAAGTCTTCTAATCAAATTCGGACTTTAAAATTAAAAATATTATTTTTTTAACCAAAATTGGACCATATAATTGAAAATTTAGTTTTTAATTCAAGTTGTTGGGATTCAAAATTTGATTTTAAATTTTTTTATTAGGAAAATCGCAACGCTGTAAATAACAAAAAATCTGCAATTTACTATGCATGTAAATCTCATCTGGCCTATATAATAATATAATAAGAAATATAGTAGAATACGTGACATAATCACCAACATGATCAACATTAAACAATTTCAATAAGTACAAAAAAAACACTAAAATAGAAAATACAGTAGTAGAAAACTAAAATATTTGCTCAATTGCGCTATAGATGTGTGTATGTATGTATGTACAAACATTATAAAACTATAACGTATCAACTTACTGACGCAACTCAAAAGCCGGAGAGGAATACACATAACACAAGTAAACAAGAAAAATTTGTGTATTTTAAATATTCAGAAAGTAAGCAGGCCAGCACTAGAGATAAAGCATTTCAGTTCGGCAAAAAATGTTTAATAGCATGTATACTACATTATATAAAAATAAGCAAATATTATTATTTCACTAAACACTTGAAAAATTATTATTTATTCGCATATGTTTGGTTCTAAAGGTTATTTTTTTTTCATATTTCAAGCAATATTTCTTTAGCAGCTTTTTAAAAAAAGTAAAACTTGAAGCGAAACTGCCACATAACCTCAATCATACCAGCAACTCCAGTAATACTTTTAATATACAATTTAATAAATTTGGTTTCTTTTATAATATTAAAAAAATTAAAATTTTATAAAAATATGAAAAGAAATACATTAGCAGCAAAATTAACCTTAGCTAGGGCCAGCTACAT